ATTGTTTGCAGTCTGTAGATCATAAAAATAAAGCAGCTCATTTCAATCAAAACTGGTCTTGCAACTGATCTGCATAAACACATAACATAAAAACAATTAAAACTAGCATCTGAAGTTAGGAAAAATACGGGGTACAACAAGTATAAACCATTTGTCCCAATTGGAAGATTAGGGAAAAATAGCCTGTAGTACTCAATTAAATATCAAATTGGACAAGTAAAGAGCATAGGACACAGAAATGAAGTGTTAGGAATACTGACTCCTCTCAGAAAGAGGGAGGTTTAGTGGTGTGTAAAGTCAAAACCAGTCCCAGAACGGGTTCCCTAATTTGGTATGGTTCTAGATGGAACCGGTTAATTTAGAAAGGATCCCCTCCCTTGCAGATAACTTTCTCCCAGACCCAAATAAGCTAATGCTTTTTAAAAAAAAGCCAATTTAACTAGCCTTTGTTGAATTAACAAAAAGTTCATTTTAGCAATTACTACGTGAAAGAAGAAATACTAAGGCAGCACGCATACATGCAGAACGCAAATATGAGATGAGTCCAAAAAGGTATGTATCTTTTAAAAAAAGGTCACACCCATCAGTCTCTGAATTATTCACGAAGGTTGGATAGTTGAACTTTGTGGCCGTAGCAGTGAAGGTTATTGATATGGTTGATGTAGGGAGGTGAACAGTCGGCTTCAAGATCCTTCATTATGCAGATGTAATGTGGAGGTGTTGGTGTTGGACTGGGGTGGATAAGGTCAAAAATCACACGAAACCAGATTATAGTCCAACAGATTTATTTGAAGACGCAAGCTTTTGGAGTCTCGCTCTTTCTTCAGTTGTCGGTGAGAGAACTGGCATCAGACACGGAATTTATAAGCAAAATGTCAAAGGGTCATAGAACTGATGGGAATGTGTTGAACAAACCTAACATGGCTGTTAAATCTTTAATCAGTTAGAAAGGATTAATATGCAAATTCCAGAATTTTTTCAGCTCACTACCCTGAGATAACCAAAGGTTTTATCAGTTCCTTCAGAGTACCAGAAGTGATATCCCGGGTCAGACAATGCATTTCAGGTGTGAGGCCTTGTTTAGAATCTGGCTGTGTATCAACTTGGAGTCAGACCGGTTTTTCCAAAGTAGGAATTTATAAAATGCCACATTGACTGTCTACACATTATGTGCTTTTTGAACAAAATAGAATGTATCTTCAAATGCAAATTCAATCCATAGATTTGTATGTGTGTGCGTGCACGTACGTGTGTGCATAGTGGGGGGTGGGGGGGTGGTGGGGGGCAGGGTGCAGAGAGTGTGTGTGTGTGTGTGTGTTTAACACACTCTGTCTCCCCCTCGTGCATGTGCACTCTCACTCTCACTCTCACTCTCACTCTCACTCTCTCACTGTCTGTCTCTCTCCCTCTCCCTCACATGCTCACAAACACATGCCATCCTACCTGGTCTAGTCTACATGTGACTCCAGAGCTACAGCAAAGCCCTCTGAAATGGCCTAGGAAGTTGCTCAGTTGTATCAATCACAATGAAATCTCAACAAAGAAATGAAACTGGATGGATCACCTGGCATCAACCTAGGCACCAGAAATGAAAATGAAGAGTCTTATTGATGCTGCAAAGTTGCCGTCACTAATATCTCAGGGGGCTAGTGCCAAAATTCGGAGAGCAGACACCGCCATCATTATTTTGGCTATGTCCTGTCCCACCTGCAGGACAGACTCAATAGAGATGGTGGCAGACCGGTATATAGTCGGGAAGGACTTGTGCTGGGAGTCTTCAACATTGATTCTGGACTCCAGGAAGTCTCACGGCTTCAGGTTAAACATGGACAAAGAAACCTGCTGATTAGGACATACTGGCTGCTGAATCAGTACTCCTCCATGGTGAACAACACTTAGAGGAAGCACTGAAGGTGCTAAGGATGCAAAATGTACTCTGGTCTGGAATTTTCATTGTCCACCACCAATAATGGCTTGGCAGCAGCACAACTGATTGAGTTGGTTGGGTCCTAAATGACAGAGCTGCTAGACTTGGTCTGCAGCAGGTAGTGAGGGAAGTAACAAGAGGGAAAAGCATACTTGTCATCATCCTTACCAATCTGCTGCAGATGCATCGGTCCATGACAGTATCAGTAAGAGTGACTGTTATGCAGTCTTTGTGGAAACAAATTCCCACCATCACATTGAGAATATCCAACATCGTGTTATATAGCATGGTCACTGTGCGAAATGGGAAAGACTTCAAACAGTGACTGTTTTAACTTTTAACTTTTTTTTAAGTTTTGTGATGGAACTGTAAATTGCAGTTGAGAATTCAACTTTGAACTTTAAACACTAGTTTGTTTTTTTAAAGAAAGGGAGAGGACAAAAGACTGATGTTTGCTATTAGGAACTGGCCTGGAAAGATAGAGCAGTAATTAACCTGCATTGAGAACACTGATTTGGCACTGAGGTGTTATTATGCTCAGGGATTTGCAGCTGGTTGGATGTTGAATTCGTGCTGGGGAATGTTGAAAAGAAAGAGAAAACAAAGAGTGAACTGCCTCCTACTTGATTTTTAGGAAGGACACAGTTTTTCTTTGGAAGCTGCCAGACTGGAAAGTTCTTTTTTTGTTTGGCTGTCTCTAGTTATTCTCCAATTATCAATTGAGAAAAGAACCCTGACCTGTAAGACATAAGTAAATGACTCCAGAGGTCTGCAGAAGCTGTTTGCATTAATCTGTGAGTTTGGAATTCAAACAAAATTTACAATTCTACATGCCTGTAATATCCGTCATCAAGGGATTTCATGATGGCTTGGTATTCATCATTAAAATGGTTTTTGAACTGGCAAAAACAATTCCTTTATTTTCTTTTCTTAGTTTATCCCTTAACTGTACCTGTCTGTCTGTCTGCTGCTGTATAAAGGTTTATATTCAAAGAAGATTGGGTTTAGATTATAGATAATAATTAGATTGCCTTAATGTGCATCTGTGTTCTGGTAAAGTTATAACCTTGGTGTCCAAGATCTGTTATTTGTAATGTCTGAATGGGAAAAATGTTGAGCAATTTTGAAGTTCATTGTATGTTTCAATTTCACTGTGTTACAAATCTGGTGACTGAAGCTGGTTTTGTTTGGCTTGGCTTGCTATCCCTGTGTAACTTGCGATCCTTGTATCATAACAATGCCATCTTGGCCTGGAACGATTATCACCATTCCTTCAGTCTCGTTGGGTCAATATTCCTGGAACTGCTTTCCTAGTAATGCCATGCATGTACCAACACCCCAAGAACTGTGACTGAAGAATCATAGAATCCCTACAGTATAGAAGCAGGCCATTCAGCCCATCATCCCTCCAGAGAACATCCTACCCAGACCCAAACCCCTACCCAATCCCTGTAACCCCGCATATCCCATGCATAGTCCACCTAGTTTGCACATTCTTGGACACGATGGACAATTTAGTGTGGCCAATCCACCTAGCCTGCACATCTTTGGACTGTGGGAGGAAACTGGAGCAACCGGAGAAAACCCACGCAGACATGGGGAGAATGTGCAAAGTGCACGCAGACAGTCTTCTGAGGGTGGAATCAAAGGCAGCTTACCATCGCCTTCTCCAGGGCAATTAGGAATGGTTAATAGATGCTGGCCAAGCCAGCAACATCATATCTTGTGAAAGACTAATTAAACATAAAATTGCTTTCCACAAATTTTAAAAATAACTTCAGGTAAAGCATAAAAAAAGTTTGTGAAATTTACCACAGGTTCTATAAGATAATAAAACACAACAGAGAAAACCATTTTTACTATGGTGCATAACATGCACACACTGGCGACCCATACATCCAAAGTTCTCAAGCCTTTTGTTGTGTATTTGTGATGAACTCATCGTCTAAGAACTTAAGTGTGACAGTTCGGTCAGAAGAAAACGTACTTTCTGACAGTTAACATGATTCTGTCTTCGTATCAGTCCTTCTATCTCTATTCAGTTACATTGTCCCAATTTTTCCACAAATTATACCAAATCTCTACAACTTTGTAAAATTTAAGAAATACAACTTTAAATATAGTCTTCAAGAATCTTCTATAGATCTTTCTCTGTACAGCCTCAAGAGCACCTGTTCTAATACTTAACATTACTATTCTTCTACAATGTTCTTTCTTAAGCACAGAATTTTGTGCACTGCTTGCCATATGTGGTGATTGCTTAACACTGACCTTTTACTTCCCTGCACCTGGCCAACTTTCATATCATTGCCAGGGAACTGTTGCTTTCAGAAAAGAACACTGGCATTTTCCTTTTGTCAGTCATTAAAATCTGCTGAATTACTTTATTGAACTGTGCTTTTGTTTTTATCATCTGTGCTCTGTGACCATGCAGTATTGCCCTGGGTAGCTCAATTAATGAAAAGTGTATACATGAAATCATTGAAAGCTTGAAATTGGAATCACAGCCACGTTCTGATTGGTTTATTATAAATGTTGCAAGCTGCATATTGTTCAGGACAGTGCATGCCTACAGTTCATTAAAATGGCTTCTTAAAGTACACTTTAATATATTTTCATCTCCAAAGAGAAATTGCACCTCCAAAGAAAGCAAATAATATCCATTATTTATTATTAATTATTTGCAAGCAAAGTAATTAAAGTTAATATTACTTCTGCCAAAGCACTTTCCTGAAAATAGTTTGCAATCTATTTTAAATGCTAAGCCTGAAGGTCATGCCCTGTCCTTGAACAAAAATGTTTTTGAGAGGTTGAAGCTGTCAAATTGTCCAGTGCAGTTTATGTAAAAATCAATTTGATCATTCTTTATTCTGACTGAGATTGGTCATTGCAGTCTGCTACCTTGTGGCGCCACATGTTGGTTAACAAATGTACTGCATCACTGTTCAATTTTCCTGTCAGTAATTTAAACCAAACACGAGTTAAGTTGTAGTTATTCTGTGGTGCAAATTATTATGGTTAAAATAGTGGTGATGATGCCAAGCAATAATAATTCTGCTCTATGTTTTTCTAGGTTGCAGAGACAAGGTGCAAAAAGGTTTGTACCTCTAAGTCTGACTTGAGATCCAATGACTTCAGCATTGTTGGGAGCTTGCCACGTGACTTTGAATTGTCTAACTATGATTGCTACGGAAAACCTATAGAGGTTAACAACAGTCTTGGGAAGCTTCAGTTAAAAAATAACAAGAAGCCTCCACCTCCAAAACCTGTCATTCCAACTGAAGCAAAGCGGATTGACCTCTATGCAAGAGCTGTGTTTCCATTCTGTTTTCTCTTCTTTAATGTAATATATTGGTCTGCTTACTTATGATCATTCCACTGCAAGCTTTCACTGAGATATTTCACATATCATTTAACCTGCTCCCTGTGTCTCTTAAACATAACTTTTCATTGTAAATGCTCTGCGATTGAAAATTGATTCATAACCAGATGCATTTATGTCAAATTTGAATGAAAGCATGCAATTACAATGTGTACACTATAAGCAAACAATGTTGTATATAGCTGTACAACACCTAGGCTGCTTTGGATATCATGAAGGTTAGACTACATTACAATCTTTCTACTGCTCTAAGTATAACATGTTTATGGGATTATGATGAGTCATTTAAAATGTGCTGCAGTCTTTCTGATATCTTGTACTTATGCACGTTTAATGTTACTAAGATAAAAATTAGGTATAACTGTGCAATTATTAAAAATTCTATGTATTCCAAACAGTAGACTCTTTGATAGTTTTGTTTTAACTTATAATTGTTACAAAAACAAAGTACCTCAGTATTTTCTTTAAAAATGTGAGCTTTAGTTCATACCATCTTCATTTTTACTTTATAGAAAATAGTATAAAACATCACTGTTGCATCAATTTTTGATATGATGTTTAAATTGCCAAAATAATTTATTCAAGTATATGTATTATTGAGATGTTCTAGTGTTAAAATAAATATATCAGTTATATATCTGTATTCATTTCTGCTTTAATAGTGGATCATTTAAATGGGCATATGTCAGTTGGGTGGATGTTCACTGATACTCATTCTGAAAGTGCAAAGCTATGTGAATGATATACCTAAAGTGAAGATGTAAGTGAGGTGAATGAACTTAATCTCAAATTCTAGTTTTAATGTTCTTAGTTCCTACATGATGCCAGAATCTATTAATGTATATTTCATGTACGTTTGATAACAGAAGTAGTTTTAGATTAGTTGACAGAGAAGTATTTATAGTGTACAGTTCCGCTAACAGGTATAATTGGGAGTGCACAATGACACAGGTGATCCATGGGATATAATAATGTAAGTACCAATGCATAAATATAATCAATGTAATAAATACTTTCTGTTCATTAAACCAACTAAATTCCGTATTTTGTGCTGAATTCCTTGGGAGATTCCTCAAAGGAATTAGCATTATAGTTGTATGTGCTGACTATTCTAAAATATCTCTTACCTAGGAAAGCTCCACAATTTTTTTTATCCGATGGTGCCCTCTGCAGAAGTAAACAATGGATTATGATGAATTAATATTTCTGTTCTTTTAGCAATACTTACTTGGAATTTCTCTTATGTTAACTTACATTTTCCTTTTGGGAAGATAAAGGTCATTATAAACAAAGTTTTTGTTTCCCAGTGAATTCACCATTTTTAATGAATTTGTTGACATATCAGAAACAAGCAATTATGAGAATGTATTCAGGTAACTTTATATAATCAGCAATGAGAAGTCAGCAACTGTAATCAAACTTGCCTGTGATATTTTATGCACACAATTATCTATAAAATGAGATCATGTATTATTGTTATCAACTCCTAGATCATTAATTTGATAACTACATCTGAGCTGAGCTGAGGCTAAAAGTCTGTAAAGGCAGTTGAAAAGTTAACAGAATAATACACTCCCCATGAAAGTTCAGTCCCTACCATTCATTGTACAATAATGTTGCCATAGTCCTAGAGAACCATAGGACTGCTCTCTCGTTAGAGAGAGATAACTGATGCTGACTTTTGGGTTAAACTCAACATGCAAGGGGCAAGTTTGAGAAGGTGGGAACTTCATGTTAACCTGACAATGTAGCAATTGAAGCCACACTGTTGGCATTACTCTGTATCAAAAACCCCTGGACAATAGTTTTCTTCCAATCAATACAGAAAATGGATTGACTGGTTATTACCATAATACTGTTTGTGAGAGTTTACTGTGTGCATACTGGCTGCTGCAGTTCTTACACTACAACAATGACTAATTTAGAAAGGTAATTCATAAGCTGTAAAAGGTTTGAGCCATCCAGTCCGTCATGAAGAGCGCTTTATAAATTCAAGTCTTCTTTTCTTTAGATTCTGCTGACATTTCTAGGTAGCAGTGGAAAATCATGCAAACTGGAAGCCTTGCTTTAACACCAGGACGTCTTTCTCCTGGTCTCACAAGAAGTATGAGATAACAGTGTGGAGCTGGAGGAACACAGCAAGCCAGGTAGCATCAGAGGAGCAGGAAAGCTGACATTTTGGGCAAGCTTGCTAGATGTCCTGACCCAAAATGTCAGCTTTCCTGCTCCTCTGATGCTGCCTGGCCTGCTGTGTTCCTCCAGCTCCACACTGTGTTATCTCTGACTCCAGC